GAGTACAGTACTTTTTCTCAGCCGAACATTTATCCGAATAGAGCGAAAAGAAGTCTTGTCAATCACAAGCCAGGAAGTGATCTGTCTCATTCCAACATGTCTGTTTTTCTCAGCTGAGTCTCTATGCGAAGACAGAGACCCGACCGAGTCACCTTCCGCCCGAAGACAGCGGTTTCGTATTGTCGCAAGTCTGTGACTGACTGCGACGATATGGTATTTGTCAGACCTCCCTACAAGGCAGGCATGTTGCACATGACCGGTTTTTACTTTGAGCATTCCGAGCTCTTAGGTTCGGGCAAAAATTCCCCGTAGACCCCGCATATACAGGGATCGGTTTTGTCCACCTCCTCAGACGAGACGCTGCCCTTCAGCATAGCCTCGTCTGGGTTCCTCTCCAGCCGAAGACAGAGAGTTCACCGAGCTAGGCAGCTGACTGTGGCGACCTTCCATTTGATTTGAGCTCTTAATTTAAGGCATCTTGCCGAGTTCATTTGTATTACCGGGAGTATATTATTTACTTCGCTATATTAACATATTTGTTTGAGTTATCATAGCAACTTTGGTTATGAAAAACTCAATTATTAAACGGACTAAACGTCTTTTTGCGCTTTTGCCGATTCTCTGCACCAACTTTTTTTTACGGTAATAATTATTTGAGAAACAATATTCCAAAAAGAATGGCATAAGAATAAACTTTCGAAAGCAAAACATGTGAAATTCACCTGGAATGAAAACAGTGACGGTGCATAACTGGTATCCTTAAAAATTCAGGGATTAATAAAAACTAAACATTTCTTTGTCCCCAGAGGAAATTTAGACTTGGCGATAAGGATGCTGACTTTCAAAGCAAAACCGTTTCATATCAAGGCTGATTTTGAAAATAACCCTATCATAAACTGTTCAATTTTGATTTGACTTGTACTCAGAAGTGGACGACCTCAGTTCGTTGAAGGTCACAGGTGTTCGGCTTGTTTAACTTCTCGATGTACAAAGCAGACACCGTGATTTTTGACTTCACTTCCATCCACCTTTGGAAACCATCTATAATTTCAAGCAGCCGAATATGAATGACACCTGATGACAATCGGTGATTAGACTGTTTGAAATGTGAGAAAAATAATAAAGACGCAGACAACAGTCTAGAAGCATCAATCGGTGGCAGTCATTACACGGCATCTCATAAATACTGACTTATAAATATTAATGCGTAGAAAATTATTAGGTTTCGTCTCATCTGTCTCGCAACCCCCCCCACCCTCTGCCTTTCCTTCTTATTTTCTATCTTTGTTTCTATTCCCGCTTTCCAGGAGAAAGGCTGAACAAAATTAAGGAAATATACGGCGGTGACATTTCATTCTCTGAGCGAGAAACTCTTTTTATATTCAATTTTGATAATGTATACAACTTCAATGTGAAAAGGTATACGAAGTTTAAATTAGTCTGGAATAAGATCAAATAGAATGTAAGGTAGAAAAGTGTTTGCTAAGCTGGCATTGTAAATGGAAGAAGGTTGTTTGCCTTCCTTGGAAATCAGTATTTGAAATGCTGTATTTCGCTGAGACTATAATAATGACCAAATGAGTCGGTGTTAAATGTAGAATGCACTTATCTTCCGAGTTCTGCATATCAATCGATGTACAGTAGGATTTCGTCACCCACATTCGACACATTGTGGCTTTGTTCGTTGTATAATATTGTTAAGAGTTGGCTTTTTCTTTTTTATTGTTAAAGCTTCCATTATTTTTTGTCTTTTTTTGCAGGTGGATGCAATTAATATATTTGTGTTTTCTACTAGTATGTTCCTAATGGAATCGGGTGAATCTGTGTGCGTGTGTTTAAATGTGCTAACCGTATTCGGAAATTAAAAACATCCCTACAAGACACTGATACATACACAGAATGCACACACTCAATTAAGCTGAAAATCGAATCATCCTTGATAATGGCTAAAGGTATAGCCGAAAGCGCTCGGAAATATAAAACATTTGGACAGTTCTTACACATCCTTTGTCCAGAAAAGAAATCTCTTGTCAGAACACAAGAAAAATTAAATAAAAAAGCTTAACCGTAGTACCTTGCCTGTCGTTTTTAATGAAACATGCATAAAGGAAGGATTGCTGCCTAAATATACAACTAATATATATATATATATTTATATATATTACAGAAAGAAATCAAAAACTACCTCAACATAGAAGCCGTATAGAAGCTATATATATATATATAACTGCTATCATCAGCCCCTAAGTCTTAGGGGTTGATGATAGCAGCGTATAGAACAGTGTGAAGTAGACTATCTTCTATGTTAGGGTATTTTTTTTTTTTTGCTATAAAAAACATATTCAGCGTTATAATAAATACATTAAGCTCTCTGTGGATCATTTTTAATAATTAATATTACTAGGCTCCACCTGGATTATATACCAACCGATCTATTATCTGCTATATATCTATATATCTATATATATATATATATATATATATATATATATATATATATATATATATATATGCATGTTCTACGCAGAGAACTATGTATCATATATATCTACATAGCAAAGCAAGGTATAAGAAGTAACAGAAGGAAAGTTCTTACATATTATTTGAAGATATACCTGACCTGGTGAAGAATCCAGGTTTAAACGGGTCGGATTCATCTATGTCCAAAGGGAAATGGCATCTTGTGTTTGTAAGCTGGGGAGGCAGATTTAGCCTCACCCTGGGCTAAAAGCCCATTCATTTATGTCCCAAAGAAACAGTATCACGTGCTTGTACGCTAGGGAGGCAGATTTAACCCCAACCTTGTCCTTTGGCTCAGGCTAAAAGAAAAATACCTTCTCGTTTGGTGGCTATTCGCGAACTGAAAATAGACTCCCCTTTTGAATCACTGTATGGAGTGACGTCACGAAGCGATTGTTATGTGACCACGGGACTTATCTTCCACCAAAGGGAGATAAGCCGTTTCTGTAACCCTACATCATAAAACGAAATTTGTTAGATGACAGGATATTTATACTGATTACTAGTTCATGTTTTCGCTAAGTTTTATTTTTCGTTTATATTCAACTTCGTTGATAATGTTTCCACATTTTCCGAAGTAAATATACCTGTATAAACATTTCGAACATTTATAACTTCCTGATTTGTGAACTGTATGCCGGTAGGTACATCATAATTTTGAATGAAGAAAATGCATTTAATTAGCAAACAAGTATTTAATTTTCAACACACACCTTTTATTATCAATGGTTTTTATTCAGTATTTAAGAAACCTTTATTTATTGCTCTTCCAACACTTACTAATGGATGGATATTAAACCTTTGAGCGCTGTCCACCGCTTTACCAGTGGTAGAGAAAAATGACGTCCAGCCACCGGTAGAACGGTAGATAAAATAACTTAATGCTCAGCGGTTGAGATTTTCCAAACGTAGCTTAGATGTGGCACAAGGCCGAAAGCATGGGGCATCCAGTGAGAATCGAACTCACTTTTCAGTAGTAACTGATCTAGCAAGCCAAGCTTGCTAACCATTACACCACGCCGAGGTGCCCGTGTGATTTACCAAGCGTAGCTCAGATGTGGCACAAGGCCGAAATGATGGGGCACCCAGTGAGGATCGAACTCACTATTCAGTCATAATTGTGCTAGCAAGACAAGCTTGCTAACCATTACACCACATCGAGGTGCCTTAGATTTTCCAAGCATAGATTAGATGTGGCACAAGGCCGAAAGTAAGGCGCATCCAGTGAGGATCGAACTCACTACTCATTCGTAATTGTGCTAGCGAGACAAGCTTGCTAACCATTACACCGCCTCGGGGTGCCCCTCAGCTATCGGTTGAACGGTGTGTAAATACTTGTAACTATATTTATATCTACCGTGAAACATTATATAGCAATTATTTGACGCAGGAGCTCAGGCTGAATTGTTTAAATTGTTCAGGAACGTAGAGCTCCAAGGGTTAAGGTAAATTATTTTTCATGGTATATCCTATCCGGATGCGAGTGGTCATGTCTATCCATAGATTCATTTTTATTTTATCTTTGAACGGCGATACATTCTTAGGAAATATAATGGAATGGTTTTGCGTTGTATTTTTTCCAGGTTTAGAATTCCGTGCTGTCCAAGCAAGACAAAAGTCTACCTTGCCATTTCAAGCATATCTGATGGCTGGGGAAGAAGAGACGGATTTATATTTTCCTCATGGCAATAGTATGAAAATGATTCCAATAAAGTAAACCGATTTCACTTTCCGCACCAATATCCCTTACACTTGTCGTATATAGTATTGCATGAAACTTATTTTAGTTGTATTCTTCTGGGTTTGTTTTTACAGCATGCCAATCTCAATGGGTTATTTAATGCCGACAAGATTTTTAGGAATATATTCTTGGCAAGAAATCTCTTTGTAGATCAGGTTTCATTGACGTATTTTTGTAAAGAATGTTTTTGTAGAGTCAAATATATTGCCGGTAATATGTTTTTCGAAAAATGTATTGTTGGTATTTTTTTTTTTAAATGTATTGATGGTAATAAATTTTTTTCGAAATATATATTGCAGGTAACATCTTTATTTCAAAAAATGTATTGCTGGCAATCAACTTTTTCGAAAAATATATTACTAGTAATAATTTTTTTCCTCCAAAACTGTATTGCTGGTAATAATATTTTTTTCAAAAACTTTATTGCTACTAATAACATTTTACAAATGTATTACTGGTAATATATTTTTTTCAAAACATATATTGCTGGTATTTTTACTATAAAAACACATTTTTACACTTTCATAGTGTTTTGGTCATAGTTTGGGAGTTCAGGTGCTATCATCCCGGGTCAATGTCGACCTGGGAACTACAACAATTAAGAGATTCCAAGTTCTTCAAAACCTGATGGTCAGAGACTTGTTGCTGGATGTAGTTGATCATCATAACCAGCACGCCTCATTTGGATGGTTGGTCTTGCAGAGCGGCAGTCAGCGTATTCTGAATCCCCAGCTAACAGGGCGTATTCTTCTTCTGATTCTTCTTCGTCTTCTTGTGATTCTGATTCTTCTTCTGATGATGATTCTTCTTGGATTGTTCTTACGATTCTTCATATGATTCTGATTCTTCTCATGATAGTTCATATTCTTCTTCTTATGGTTTTTATGATTCAAAGTTTTATTATTCTTCTTATTCTTTAATTTCTTCTTATCATTATTCATATTGTTAGTATGATCTTTCGTTTTTTCTCATGCTATTACGGTGTAACCCGGATATAAGAGACCCGGATATAAGAGAAACCCGGATATAAGAGAGATTTTATATGGTCTCAAATTAGAGTCTGTGTTAATGTATATATAATAGACCAAACCCGGATATAAGAGAAACCCGGATATAAGAGACTTCTTCTCCGGTCCCGACAACTCTCTTATATCCGGGTTACACTGTACTATTATTTTTATGATACTTTTATTGTTATTATTATTATGATTTTTCTTATGATTCTTCTTTTCTCATTATGATCATCATTATTAATATTACTATTATTAAGATTATTATTCTTATTATTCTCATTACTATTTTTATAATCCTTCTTGTGATTATTTTTCATATTATTTTTATGATTATTATTATGAACCGTCTTCTGTTGTTTATTATTATTATTAGTTCCTTATAGATATACATTACTTAAATAAATATTGGGTTTGAGGGTATATTTAACGATACAATAGAAACAAGTTTACATTCAGACGTGAAAAAATCTCAGTAAACTTGAGAAGACCAAAAAAATTCAGATTAAATAAAAAAATACTGAATTCGAAAAGATTAAAACGGCAGGTATACACAAAAGAAAAAAAAATAGTAGCAACTACCAAGAAAATGATAAAGAAAGAGAAAATAAACGCAGAATAAATCTATCTATCTATCTATCTATCAATCTATCTATCCATCTAAAAAAAATCTATCTATCTATCCATCTATCTATCTCAGTCTTTTCATATAAATCTATCTATCTATCTATCTCAGTCTTTTCATATCTATCTATCTATCTATCTATCTATCTATCTCAGTCTTTTCATATCTATCTATCTATCTATCTATCTATCTATCTCAGTCTTTTCCTATCTATCTATCTATCTATCTATCTATCTCAGTCTTTTCATATCTATCTATCTATCTATCTCAGTCTTTTTCATATCTATCTATGTATATCTATCTATCTATCTATCTATCTATCTATCTATCTCAGTATCTATTTCTTTTCATCTATCTATCTATGTATCTATCTATCTATCTCAGTCTTTTTCATATCTATCTATCTATCTATCTGTCTTTTTCATATCTATCTATCTATGTATCTATCTATCTATCTCAGTCTTTTCATATCTATCTATCTATCTATGTATCTATCTATCTATCTCAGTCTTTTCATATCTATCTATCTATCTATGTATCTATCTATCTATCTCAGTCTTTTCATATCTATCTATCTATGTATCTATCTATCTATCTCAGTCTTTTTATATCTATCTATGTATCTATCTATCTATCTATCTATCTATCTCAGTCTTTTCATATCTATCTATCTATCTATCTATCTATCTATCTATCTCAGTCTTTTCATATCTCTATCTATCTCTATCTTTATCTATCTATCTATCTCAGTCTTTCACATATCTATCTATCTATCCATCTATCCATTATCTATCTCAGTCTTTTCATATCTATGTATCTATCATCTATCTATCTATCTCATCTTTCTATCTATGTATATCTATCTATCTATCTATCTATCTCAGTCTTTTCATTCATGTATCTATCTATCTATCCATCTATCTATCTCATCTATCTATCTATCTATCTATCTATCTATCTATCTATCTATCAGTTTTCTCATATATATTTATCATATCTATCTATCTATCTATCTATCTTTTCATATATATCTATCTATCTATCTATCTATCTATCTATCTATCTCAGTCTTTTCATATATCTATCTATCTATCTATCATCTATCTATCTATCTTTCTTTTCATATCTATCTATCTATCTCAGTCTTTTCATATCTATCTATCTATCTATCTATCTATCTATCTATCTATCTATCTATCTATCTATGCCTCAATTTCGCTTCGCAAATAGAAATCTCAGTATGCATTCTAAATTTGGCTCATGGCTGCTGAGTGCTAAATAAGACAAGACAGTTGATAAGTATTAGGCGAAGACAACTATGCTCCTCTCTGAATACGTTATATATTTGGTTTAGATGATAAAGACTTAGAATTCCGGTAAATTATTAGCAATAGTAAACGAAAACCCAAGTAGGGATATTCTTTTGGTCAATGGAGTAATATCACGGTTTGATACAACAATATTAATATAATATTAATAAGCATACTATCAACTGTAGGAAGCAAATAACATCGCACCTCTGAGCGCACTCTGGTGACAGTTATGATTTACATTCAATTTTGTGTACTACAATAATATTTAACTTACTTTTTAATCAAAATCGAATCATTTTGAATTTGCATAGTTAAAATTGTGATTTTCGTCACCAGGAAAATAATTGACAGATATTATATTACTCTTACGTAGTATAGAATAAATTCAAACAGCATATGAAAGCTGGGAAAAAAATATTGTAATTTGTATTTTTGCAGATTTGCCAGATAAGTTGTGCCAGTTCTGTCAAACGAATCTGAAGGACGTACAAATTCATAGTAGGGGTTTTAGTGAGAGTTTGAATTCACAAGCGGTTGCCAACCGCCCATGTATGCCTACTATAAGTTAGTGAGATCCGAGCAGTTCCAAGTTGGTTTATATTCAGAGCTTTCCTGGTTGCCAACCAAGGCTAAAGAGTCCAGTCTATCCTGCTATTTACCCATAGCTGGTGGGGAAGAGATGGATTCATACATTTCCCAAGCTTATTAGCCTGTAACTTTAATGAATTCTGCTGGAATTTGAAGTCCGCTCTCCGATTCCTCAAACAGAGCGGCTCTCCATGACTCCAACATGCTTTGTGAGAGATCCAGAAAAATATGGAATATGGAAATGACAATTGTATTTCTCTTTATTGGAAACCTCAGAACTATTTCGGGGAGACTGCGAATAGGTTGAATGTAATTTCAGAATTAACCAAAGGGTAAAATTTCTTACCTCGAGTCCTAAACTAAAGCATGTGGGATGACTTTTGTCAATTGACTTCAAGTAAAAGTCACCACTGATGACAAATCTCGATGTATATAAGTAATATAATGCGAGAAACTAATTTTATTTTCAAAATTCAAGTAATTTCGTTTAGAATTTTAGTGTTGGGAATATATGGTATTGGTTTCAAATAAATGGCTACTACGACCGTTGTTCAAATTTAATTTTCTAACCAATTTTATTTCTGAATAAAATAAATATTTTTGTATAGATACAACATTGCTGAAGTCGAAAGAAAATTTGTAAAAAGAAAGCTTTACAATTCTCACATTAATCAATAAAAAAAAAAAAAACTTACAGGTAACAATTTACAGCAAATTTCAGTATAAAGAGTAAAAAAAAAATGTCGTCTCATTATTTACAAATGGCGAAGCAATATATATTAGATTTTTGGAGCAACTAAATGCAAATATTCCGTTTTATAGCCAGAAGCGAAGTTGATATTGGCATGTGTAATAAGTTATTAGCAGATACTGGAATTCAATTTATTAAAATTCATCATTATTACTGTTACAGATATAAAAAAAAAAAAATAAAAAAAATAAAAACTATATAAAAAATAGCCTTCACAGTTAATGAAGAATTTACTTTGTATGATAGGGAAAATTTCCATGATAACAGTAAATCATTCAAGCAAAGAAGAGACGATTCTCATTTCTTGAAGACGGTGTGCAATTTAACTTGGTAATTCACGTTGCCTTTCATTAATTCATGATGTATTGATTAAAAAGAAAAAAAGAATACAAATATGATGGTAAATGAATTACTGGAATTAGTTTAAGAATCTAAATCGTTGCGAAATCTTGGTTGCAATGAAAAGAGAATGTAAGGACATTAGAATTGGCGTAGGAACCAAAGCTTCGCGCTTTATCGAAGCAAATGTCCCGTCACTGACTTTTATCGATCTTTAAGTAGAGTTAATTACCTTTTATTATGTATAGGAGAAGAAATATTACATACTATTCCTTAATTTATATTTTTGCGGGGAATTTACAAAAAAAAAAAAAAAAAATTCCAAACTTTTTTAAACATTAATAAAATTATAAACACATTTAAAATTACCTATGTTGCCTTACAATTATGCTTCAATTAAAGAAAAAGAAAACCCCAATCAATACTGGGAAGAGCAATAACAGAGAGTGACTTAAGAAACATATGTTCCTGAAAAATCATTCTAATAAAATTATTTTATAAAGTTCACCCGAACGCAACACTGGTTACTCAGTCAATGACCGTCGAATGTTTTCTCATAAGGAAACGGCAAATATTATCATTGTAATTTGTAAAGGAAGAGATAGCTTTACTCAGATACTTGTACATGCTAACATAACGTTTACAACACACACATACACACACATATACATATATATATATATATATAGATAGATAGATAGATAGATATTCTATAAGATAACTTATATTAAAGACAACATATATTGTGTGACGATTAATTTTATTAACCGACTTTTCCAAAATTACAAATAATAATAATCTTTCTAAGACAAGGAACTTGTCCAAAGTTCATTTCGGAAGAAAAATGATCCAAGCTTTTCGACATTCTTAAGTCATCATCTACCTAACCTAATGATGTCTATAGAAAGTCTCAGCACATTATAATCCATGTTGCAGACATCTGTTCAGGTACATTTGTTCAACAACCACAGAGCCAACTTGTGGTTTATACTGCAGTTCCTCGAAGCGAGCGCATTCGTGCTCAATAATCCGAACAAAACCAGCACGCTCAAACTCTCGGTTTGACTTGTGACTTCATGCTAACATAATCATCGACGGCTCCCAAAGTGTTCC